TATGTGTAGGTTCATACTTGCCTAATATATACTACATATTATAAAATATTATTTTTAGTAACTATAAATAAAATATAAAGTATTTATTTCATATTTTAATATATAATAGATTTGTACTTTAGAAGCATATTAAGTTATCTAAACTAAATATAAGTTTTATATTGAAGTTTATTTTTAAAAGATACATTGAAAGTTTTTGAATTTTGTCTTATGAATTTGTAATGTATCAACAATAATTGATATTGATAACATGTCAAGTTTATATTTGGTAGTTAGATATGTGTAATTATAAGTATGTATTGTTATCCATAGCTAGTAGTATGAAAAGGTTGGAATTGCAAAATGTAATATAAAGATATATGAGTTATAGTAGATTGAATGTGTATATATATTTTCATACTTGCCTAATATATATAACATATTATATAACAATGTCTTCTATGACTATGTAAGATATATAAATCTTTTATTTTTTATTTCAATGAATTATAAACATGTACTTTAGAAGAAAAATAAATAAACAAGGTAGCATTTAAGATTGTATTGAAATTTTATTATGAATAATAAATCATAAGATCTTAAGTTTTATATTATAAAGTTATAATACATCAATATTAATAGGTGTTGATTCTATTATATATGTACATTTGGCTACTATAGATATATAATTATAAGCATGTAACACTATCTATTGTTAGTGGAATAAAAAAGTTAGAATGATGGAATTAGACATAAAGACATATTAAATACTTAAGATTAGATTTTAATTTTGAATTATATTCTATTAAAATTCTAATGATCAAAATTAAAAATATAGAGTTTCATATTTTATATATATATATATATATATATATATATATATATATATATATATATATTATAAATAATGAAGATAAAAATATTACTATAAATATAATTTATTTCAAAAGTCTTTCAATTAAGTTCTTGAAGTTATTTTAGTAATAAAAGATTACGATTTCTAATTATAATAAAAAATATTAATGATTCTATTGATATAAATATATATATATATATATATATATATATATATATTTGTCTTAGTCAAAATTTTGTTAGAAGTAATCAAATTTAATTTAGCAACTAAAAATTTAATTTTTAGAGTTTTTTTTGTGGCCAATGATATGGATTTCTATTGATATTGATATATATATATATATATATATATATATATATATATATTAGGAGAAACTTATATTTTTAGGTATAATTAAATATATATATATATGTATATATATATATTAAGAAAAACTTATATTTTTAGGTATAATTATATATATATATATATATATAATCCAAATTTTTAAAAAATTGACCCAATTCTTCCATTTTCCTTGTCTTAATCCATTATCCCTTGTCTCAACCTTTCTATCTTTATTCCAATTACTTGTTCCATGTCCATGGGCCTCTTATGTATGTGTTTGTTTATTTTTTTATTTATTTTAAGAAGTATTTATTTATGCAATGTTTCATATTTAGTATGATTCAATGAGTCTTTAGCAATGTCATATATATGCTTGCACTCAAGCTCATGTACAGAGTATATATGTGATTTGGGATTTATTCAATAAGATCTAAAAGCCAGCAACACTTTCTACTCATTCATGACATCCATTCATTTATCTTTTGGAACATACTACGTTAGTGCTTTTAGCATAAATTTGGTGTTTAAAGTGATTTGTACTTGAAATTTGAATATTATGGAGCCAAATTCTTGAAGTGTAGTTGTAACCAAGAATTCATTAGTAAATGTTTTGTCATCCAACCATGCAAAGCTCTTTTAGATCACGCTTCTTTAGACCACATTTTTATGGTATTTCTCTATTGCTTTGATTCAAAGTATTTAATAACATTTTAATTTTTTTTATTTTATATTGCATCATCCATATCTTGGATATAGACAACTTCTTATTCTATTATTATTTGAATAGTTTTATGCCAAAATTTCTTTATATATATTAAGAATCATCATGTTATTGGTTTTGCAAATAGTACCAAGTTAAACATGTTCTAGAAAGTATTTCGAATAAAAACTAATTTGGATTTTTTAAGGATTTTAGTTTTTTTTCAACTTGAATTTAAACTTCATAGTACTAGATCTATGCACTCATATCTATTTAAACCTTCTTCACCAGAATCCAAAATTTTCAAATAAATTAAAAATGGCACTAGTTGTGTTGAAGAATTTCATTTGAATTCTTTCTCTTCCTTGGTCTTGCAAGCCAATCTAGCAATTAGACATGAAATGGTACAGAGAGAGAAAAGATTGAATGTAATTCTTCATTACCATTCATAAATAAAAGAAAGACCTACGAGAGGGAGAAAAAATAATGAGAAACAAAGAAAAAGAAAGAGAGTAGTGAGTATTGAGCATCTTGAAAGAGAATCATAATTCAAATTGTAGCCAATAAATTATCTTAAAATTAGCACATTTAAATCCACGGCTACATCCAAGGAAGTCAAAAATAAAACCAAAAAATCCAAAAAACACAAAGGTCAACAAAAAAAAATTAAAAAAATTAAAATTAAAATTAAAGCAAAGATAAGAAGAAAGAAATAGAGGCAAAAAATCACAATTTTTGGCAATTGACGAGACTAAGGGAAAATGATGAAAGTGGAGCCAAAAGCCAAAAAAATAGTATAGAATCCAATTAAAATTGAGATTAGAAACAAATAGATAAATTCAATCAAGCAAGCAAGCGAGCACAATATAGTATTACATGAAGTCTTGCTCAAGAATGTACCAAGCACTTGGCAGTAGAAGGCAGAATGAAAATTGCAACAACGAAATTTTAACTCTAATAAAATATTAAATAAACTCTAATTAAATCTTAATAATATTAATCAAGCATTAATCAAATTAAAAAGAAATCTTAAAGAAATTACAAAAGAAACAATACAAAATCTTAAAAGAATTCAAAAGAAATCCACAATAAACTTGAAAAGAATTCCTAAGAAATCCTAAAGAAAAATTAGAATAATTATAAATATATCTTAAATAAATCTCAACAAATTCTAATTTAATTCTAATTGAAATCCTAGGTCAAATCTTAAACTCTTAGCAAATCCTAAATCCTAAATTCTAAGGAAATATTAAATCATAAACTCTAAAAAAATCCTAAATCAAATCCTAAATCCCAATCCAATCCTAATCTTAAATCAAATCCTAATCAAAACCTAACCAACTCAACCTAATCCTAGTATAATTAAAAACCTCAATATCTATCAACTAAATAATTGATCTTTTTTAAAATTTTATTTACTTTTGAAAAAATAAATTAGTATTTAACACCCATAATCATATTTATCACATGAAAGAAAAATCCTAAAATCCACTCGGATATTGGTCAACCTTCTATTCCAATCTGAATGTTAAACTTCTAGTACCAATATCTCATTTTTAAACTATTCAATTGTTCTAAAATTTTATATTTATGTATCAAATCAAGTCTATTATCTTCATATATAAATTTCACTCCAATCCAACCAATAGATTGGTAAAGAACTTAGAAGCCCTAATTGCCCCTCAAAGTCCAATTTCCAAGACCTCAACCTATTTGAAATTCAATATTCTTCAATTCAACCATTTGATCAAGCTCAAACTTATAACATACACTTCAAACAACTATTTACATAAGTCCTCAAAATTTGAACTATAGATCTACTACCAAACTCATAAAATTTTCTAAAACATAATATCTTCTATTTTTTCATAATTTCTAGAATCATTCAAAACAACTATGACTTTGCAAAGCTATTATAAAATCATTATACACTTAAATCACCCAAAATCAATGCTTAAATTTTTTTTATCAATTCTGCTCTCAAATTCCACTCTTGAATCTTCCAAAGTACCCTAGAGTTGCCGTAGGTGCGTGGTTTTATACCTCAAGGTTTGATTTTGATCCAAGTTGATGACTGATCCTCTCTGCATATCAAATTTTTTCTTTTTGAATTAATTTTTGCTAAAAGCAACTCTTAACTTCATCCTAAATATGTTCATAACTTTTATTTTTTTAATATATCTTATTTTATCTTTCTTATAGCCTTACAAAATAAATAGAAGCCTATTTTGCAAAAAGGTAGTATTTACACCTTTAGTCTTAGTTTCTTTTGGACTGTTGTCTATTTTCTAAGATAATTTGCTATGATATTGGAAGTAAGATCTTTTATAATATAATAATTTCTTAATTCTTTTTACCTATTAGTCATGTTACATCACAACAACAGATATCACGAAATAGATATAGCTAGATGGTGGCAATGATGCCTATGGACAAGAAAAGGGCATTGAAAATGGAGAAGTCAAAGTAGGGGACGAGAAAGAGAATATGGGAATTGGATCAATTTAGTAAAAATTTGGATTGCTTTAATATTTTCTAAACTTTATATATATATATATATATATATATTCTTGTTTGTTTGTTTGTTTGTTTTGTTATTTCATCACACAATTGAAAACCATGTCCAATTCCATCCTACTCAAAGTACCTCCAATGTTTTGTCTATTGTCTCATTCTTAGCCACCTCCATTCTAACTATAGGGCCTTCAAAAGCCAAAAGCCTTCTTTGATTCTTTGTGTTATATCTATGTTGTTGTATACAATAGTTATAAAGCTCAAGCCTCTAAAAAGACAAACTTTAAAATTTGTATTTAATGTTTGAACAAGTCATAAGTCATGATTTTTTGTTGTCTTGATTGTATGTACATATAAGTATAGATACATACATACACACAAGCAAATTTGTTAAAATGCAAATGACCAATATATATATATATATATATATATACATATGTATGTATGTATGTTTATATATATATATATATATATATATGAAAAAGTAAATGGAAAAAGTTCAGGGGCTGTGACACAATGAATTTAGGGTTCAGGGTTTGTTTTTATTTATTTTTATTTTATTTTATTGCTAACATACAGCGTCGTGGAGTTCTGCACAGAGTCATCGCCGTTTCGCAGTTGGACCTCGAGTTCAGATCCACACGAGTTTCGGTGCCCACGTTTGTTCGCTGGATATTTTTCCCGAGATACTTGAAGCCTGGAAGTCGATTAGGTCTAGCCCGCGTTTTGCAAAGAGGTTGATTTGCCCCCGTTTCATTTCCGCATCCGATTATGAACCGGCTCAGCAATCATCAGATGTATTTGAAATTAGCGCTTCGACGCCGTACCGAACTGTGGTTTAGGGTTCCAAGTGTTCGATCGGTTGCAGGTTTTGTAAATTTGGTAATGTGAATGCGAGATCCAGTAATTTCAGAGATGGTTGCACCTGTTCCCCTCCGCTTCAGTCCGGAGTACTGTAACCAATTCAGACAGACCTCTCTTGGAATCCCGCTCTCTTCTCCATATCACTTGCAGCTACGATCAGTGTCTTGAGTAGAATTTCCAGCGGTTTGCAGTAGCTGTTGTTACTTGATGTCGAATACTCAAAAGAGCTTACCACGGATCAGTGCCCACTGAAGAGTTCTCCATGCCCACGAATTTGAGCTACGGAGTCTCGCCAGATGAATGAGAGAAATAATGACTTCCGATGAATAGGTTTTCTCAATGCTCTGATCGTCTGAATTGGAGTTACGCTCACACGAAGTTGGATCTGTATGCTGCCAATGCACTTCAGGACGAAGCCTCGCATGATCTCGGTTAGGACGTGTACACATGCCGGAGTTTCCAAGCTGTAAACAGCAGAATGTAGAGTACTGCAAAACCATCAAAGGCTTCCACAGTTTGTCCTTGAATGGTATTCCTTACAGATGCAGTGTAAGGCAGATACAAGTTTTGATTGAATGAGAACTTTCCCTTCGAGACGCAGATTGCAATTGGGATGCAGATTTTGGTGCCATGTTCATGGTCTTTCATGGTTGAAATTCTGTTCTCAAATTAGCAGCAATTGCTCCGTCTTGGCGCAAGAGTTTATTCAGAATGGATCACAAAAGACGTGTAGCTGCGGAGGGGCCCCTAGCACGCAAGCGTCTGAAAGATCAATCGCACGCGACAACGTCCCCGTCTCCAATGATGTTTCTGCTCGGTGGCTCGTCAAATCGGGCAGCGAGGAGTTTGGATATCCAGGACTTAGACAAAATGGTCGAGGACTCAACTTACAGAGAGCTATTGCCAGTTGTCAGGAAGGTAAGATGGAAAGCTATGAAGGATGGAAGGCAACGATTCGCGCACTTTTTTGCAATAGTATCGGTAGCAAGGTTTTATCCCGACGATGTTGTTATCTGAGAGCTTGTTCTCGAAATCGTGAGTGCATGCATGTTCTGTATATGGAGGGAAGAGAAACGCTCTGTTAGTTTACAGGTATGTAGTTTCCCGTCAATAGGGAATCATAAATTAAGGAAGACTTATCATAAAAAAACAAAGAAGGGCAGTTGTGATATCTATTGATTATTGATGTCGCATACAGAATGAGCCCCGAACTGAATGAATTTTATTTGAGATGTGTGTTCTGAAGGAGCTGGTGATCAAACGAGATGTCGATATGGCACTGATTCGCAGAGGCGTGAAAAGGTTGAAGGGTGGTAATCAGGAGGAAATGGTTTGCGCAGTTTGCCCCACCCCTAAAAAATTTAAAGGCTGGGGCGCTTTGTTAATCCACGCTGAGAGGTTCGTGAAGGAGAAGGCGCGTCAGCACCGTGGATATTTTCGTGCACTCAAGCAGGCTCTCCAGGAGGAAGAAAATTCCAACTCAGACGGAAAGTATTTTCAGGAATACGGACGGAAGGATGTCCAGCCTCTAGCTCGGTCTCTCAGCACTGCGCAGGCAGGTTTGTCCACATCCGTCGCCTTTTTCTTGTCTTCCCAGCTACTTCCGCAATCATGCTCCTTGCCAGAATTGACCCCAGAATGACCCCAAGTTTGTAGCTATATGTATCATCTGTAATAGCTCTATTCTACACAATCCTTCAATATGTTGTGAGAGTGCTGCTGTAGCAATCCAAAATGCTGAGGCCTGATTTATCATGCTGTGGTCGTCGTTGTAGTACGTATATCGACCTTCGCGTATGGATTTCTAGAGAAGGTGCTACCTAGATCAGAGCCTGCAACATATGGTGATTGTTAGAATGTATGCGTTAAAGGTTCCATGAATCTCACTCGAGACGGGTGGGACGATTTGTAAACGCTGTAACTCCAATTCCACATCATTCTGAGTCGCGGAAGTTCTGTTGGTAAGGTAATGATGTGGAGTTAGTGGCGATTGCTGCAGAGGAGGATGATAGAGTGGCATCCTGGAAGCCGAACATCTTGATTGTGCAAGACGACAAGATCGATGAAGTGGAACGGATAATTTGTCCAAGGGCATCACATCGGGAGAGTGAAGTTAATCGACACGCTTGCTCTGGCATGGACAGAACAGCCAAGCCTCGGCTTAAGGAAATTCTTGCTGTCTACAGCTCAGGCAAGGATGGCAAACGCAATGTGTTCGTATTCCCGGCCACAGAGGTATGCAGCTTCAGTTGCAGTACTTGTGGCACAAATTCATCTTAATAACAGAATCCATACATTCAGCTTGTTACTAAAATCTCTAAGTCTGTTCTGTCCTTTTACGAACTAGAGCCTCTGGGACACATACGTAGATTCTCGATAACTGCATGTGGTGCGTGCTCGTTAGCAGATTGCTATTACTAATGTTATTATGTTTTGACAGTGAAATAGATCCTTGTGGGATAATACAGGTTGGCTACATCAATGGAAAAGAGTTGACACTTGCATGTTCCAAGGAGCACACAACATTAGAGTACAACTGCGATGATCATCGTAATCTTAGCAGCAAAGCCAACGAGAAGGCAGTATCAGCCTCCATTTCCAACATGGCTCTCAAAGGGTACACGTTTCTGTCAGCTATGCTGATTGATTGAGCAATTTAGGACGATGCACCAGAGAGCAGATTATCACCGATGGATGATGTATCTGTATTAGGTTGGATATTGAACGTTTCTCACTAGTGTTGTTCTGTGGCAGGTGGACAAATATAAAGGAGAAGAATGGGCTGAAGCTTTTGCCAGACAAAGAGGTAAATGGTCGGAAAGGGGAGCTGTTCGACGACGGCAAATTTGATCGTATCGGTAAAATCATGACTCGTTGGGCGGACAACTTCAAGGCCATCAACCGCAACTTCGAAGTTCAACGTTCCTTTAGACTTGGCAGTAGGGTGCGTTACCGATCGTCTCGAACTCACTATGCTTGATACGTACCACTAAGACAATATTGAAAGCCAGAAGCTCAATGTGGCAACGGACCTCAAGTTGACACCTTTGTGTTCATGTCATGTATACATATGTATATATATATTTACCAGATGTACGAGCTGGACCGAGTTTGGCAAGATGATTTAAAAAGAATAGAAAGCTACGCCCCGTCCACCAAGAAGAAGGTACGGAACCAAATAACAGCTATTGAGGATGAGCTCAAGAAAGAGCATTTAGTGTGGTTGCAAGAAGTTGAGGACGTCCGTGAGCAATTTCAAAGGATGGCGGACAGTATGAAGAAGGAAGAGTATGTATCTTGCTTCTTCGTACATGTCTTATCACCATGTATTGTAGACAATGGAAGGAGACAATCGAACGCACTAACTTGACACCTAGCCACTGAAAAGGTTTCTCACCATATTACCGAATGCGACAAGTACGCATTGTCTTGATCCTCTGTTACTCCTGGAGTATATTGGGGTATTCCAAGTGACATAACGTTGCTTCGGTCAATTTTTGACATGTTTGTTATATACTAGGTGGTTGTTTTGTGCTTGTTGACAGGGAAATAAATAACTTGAGGAATTTACGTTGTAAGGAGAGAAATCTGAGGAAGCAACACCAAATGGAACACGAACAGATGCGTGTTGAGAATATGCAACGACATAGCCGAGTCAATTCTGAACTAATATCAAAGAGATACAAGGTACCTTAGATATCAGAAACATAATTGGATGGTCTCTACTTTTTCTCAGACCACGACTTGACCAAGTATAGTTGAGAAGCTCGACATTGTAGACATTCTTGTAAATGGGAGTCATTGCCTTCTTACTTAATTCCCAAGTTTCTTTCTGGAGTGCAGCGTAATGTGGAAGGGCAACTGATGGTGGAGACATGGATTGACGAATACCACAGGTTGTGGCGTGAATCTACTAAAGCCAAGAACGAACGCCTTCGCCTTCAAACTTTACACGACAAAGTCCACACCAAAGCGTACATCACCAAGTGAGAACCTTACTTCGGATTTTTTTTTTTTTGCCGGTATTCACCATAGAAGTTGAGCTTGGTAAGAAAAGAGTTCAACGCGCGTGCACGCATACTAAGAGTGAATGACCAGGTTAATTCAGTAATGGGTGGCTCCTTGGAAAGAATATCCTCTGTTGATACCATGCTGGTTCGATCGCAGGAAGCGAGAGTGCCCAATATGTTTTGAGTTGTTCAGGAAGCCCGAGACATCATCGAGGAGCAACGACGATCTCTTTCGCAAGTTCTACCCGGTCAATAAGTTGTGTTTAGACTTGACGTGTCCTCAAAGACACAAATTCAAGTCCTAGTTTCACTCTCTTCCTATTGAGTCCCATCATTGATTACGACATGGCCATCGTTGCTGTTCAGGGCAGTCACTTGGGACATATCAAGTGATGCTCTATTTGTGAGAGACTGATCCTCACAACGAGGGATTTCGGTAACAAAACAATCAGCCTTGCCATGGAACTTAACAGGATGGCTACAACAGCAGCCAAACGGAATAAACCATGAGAAGTGAAGTCAGGAACCTCCATGAGATTATGTCCCTAAATCGATGTACTAACTCGTTTGTAATAGTTGGCAGCCTGCCAAAAGTTTGAGAAGTTTTAGAAGTGCTTACCAAAACTGGTTACAATTTTAGAGCTTTGAAATAAAGACATTTATAATATTTGTTGTACTGCGCAAAAGTCTCAGAAATTAAACTGCCATTAGTGTTATTCCCAACAGTCTGCATTTTTTCCATGTAAACTAACGTGACGTTTTTTCATATGTAATTAGTTTTAAATCAAGTATTTCAGTTGTGATGTGTTTTACATTACTTTGTTATTGCCCAAAATAAATAAATAAAAGTTGATTTAATGCCTGACTTTTTTATTATCTTTTAAGCAATTATCTATCAAATTATGATTGATTTGAAAATTAGTGAATTTAAAATTGTCAGTGGAGAAATAAATAGGTAACAAATGCTATGTTATGTAAATAAATCCAAGCTTTTGATAGATTTTTTAAATTTTTTCTTTTTTATTTCCCACCCTAGTTCAAACATATATAAAAAGATTATCAATATTAAAGAAAAACAAAATTCACAACATCAATGCTATTTAGTATTTTAAGATAAAAATTTAAACATATGCCCATTGTCACTATCCTAAATACAATTAATTCAAAGTCTGCATAGAAAACGCTTACACAAACATTTTGCGTGAGAATTTGCAAAAATAATAAAAAAATAAAAGAATAAAACAACAGAAATCACAATGTTTTTAAATTTAAAAAAATGATCAGTAAAAAAGTTTAGAGCAAACTACAAAAATACACTTACTATTCTACAAATATAAAAACCAAGTCACTCTAATTTTTTGCACCTAAATATCTGTAAACACGCAACACTGGTATCACTCACGAATCATCAGTGCACCAATACGATTACTCTCGTAATTCAACATTTCAATCCATCAATATATGAAACATGTGTTATAATTTTCTTTGAAAGAAATGTAGGATGTGTGTTGCGAATTAAGTTTTTGAATGATCGCATGACCGCCCTTGTGTTGGAGTGTGAGCTTCGAATGAGTCTTGGCTTTTGTTCTCGTGAGCACCTTGCCTTGGGATCTGAGGTGGCTCGATTACTGAAGAACTGGGAATGAGAAGACGCACAGGTCTCTTTGCGATATAAAAGCAAATTTGAAGTCAACAGAGATTGTGAAGCGATGCGAGGGAACGCTGCTGTCGGAAGCTGTTTCCAAATATACTTCTGTCAAACAAAAAATTCCAGCATTATTATGGTTCGATTTGAGATAGAACGGAGTCTGTGTTTAGAGGATTTTTTGATTGCTTCAAAAAGCCATCGTTCCTAGGATCAATTATTCGGTCTGCCGACCCTGCCGCTTCCACTTACGGTGCTCGAAGATGGCTGTGGCGAAGTTCGAAGGAGGAGGGATTTAAATTTGGAGTTCGTCGCTGGATTGACGGATTGCGCGGGGTGATTACTAGATTGGAAGGATTGGACGCGATCAAGTTGAGCTCGGTGCAGGTTGATAGTCACGAAGGAGCTGGATTAGATTGCATTGTGGATGGTGGCGGCTTGAGCGCGTGTTAGATTCTGAAGACGCACGCGGGTTGCAAAGAGATGGCGCTCGCAGCGTCGTTGGAAAGCGATCTGCGGATGCTGGCGGCAGAAGCTCGCCGAAAATTTCCGACTATCAAAGATGCTGCCGATCGGTCAATGTTTAAGGCATGGTTTCAAACCCTATTTTTTTAAATTTAATTTTTCTTTTATTTTTTCGTTTGTTTTCCCTTCAATGTTAGATCGTCTTGGAGAAAACTATTGAGTCAGTGCAGTGTCGACGTTGTAATTCGGATTGTATTGGCGAAGTTGAGGTCCTCGCCGTACTCTGTAGGAATTCAGAATTCAATGTGTATCGTTATTCACTTGCACATTTCGATTGTATGAGGTTGGAACCTGGAGAAATGGCGGGGTTACGAGGAACTGGCAATCTTGTCCTAAAAATGTTCGATACATGGCCTCTAGGGCATTTACGTTTTGTTGTCGCTTGGGGAGAATATTTTCAGCTGCTAAATGCTACGGCTAGACAACGTTTTGCAATGTGGTTGCGAAAAAAAATATTTCCTCTTATATATTATTGCGTCTTGCTCAAATTCCTATGTCAACCAAAGGGAGATTCTGGTTGAAGCAATGGCGTATGTATTCATGAGAGCAAGAACATGTTTGGCAGTCTTTGAAGTCTTTTGGTCGGATTACAGATAGTAGCTGTCGACAGTGTAAGATTTGAATACATGACTTTAAAAGTCCGAAATCAAGGAGGATCATATTTCTAATGCGAGCAGACTCTTACAATCGTATTGCATGTAAAGACGACCGTCGGAAGGAAGAATTAATTTTTCTACACCATACTAGTACTTGAAAGTTTACGATGGTTCATGTAATTGGATGCTTTGACAGCCTGCATTCGTACTCCTCTATCAGACATTCTAATCCAGTTTGCTCCATTGTCGGCATCACATCCAAAAAATTTCATATGCACTTCCAGGAGGATGTAGCTGTGATCATAGAGTAACAACAATTGAGATGATCTTCGTGCAGGTCCGCTTAGCGTCGAACGCAAGTCATTTGGCAGGGAGTGATGACGTCCTCAAGACCTTTCTGTTAGCTTGTGAAAGTAGAAATAATAAGTTGAGCATCATGGGATTGGCCGGCATTGATAAATTGATTGCTCACAGTGCTGTTTCTTCATCAGTGCTCCCACCTATTTTGGCTACGTTGAAAGACGTAAGTAATCCTCTTGCAGGCTACATCTCATGCACCTCCTTATATTGCTTCTGACACTAGTATTGTTTAGAATTTTTTACTTTTAGTTGTTGAATAGTTGCACTCCCGTCATATCAAATAGCCGCGATCTGCAACATGTATAGGTTGTGGCTTGTATAATCGACAATTTGTTGTTTTGTCTGATTTGTGCTGCACTTACTGAGTCAGTCGAGGTTCTTTTTATGTTGCTTGTTTTATGTTTCTTTTTTCTTTTTTGTGCAGTGCTCAGACATGACTGAAGAGATAGTTCAGTTGAAGACGCTACAGCTATCATTGACAATACTTCAGTCTCAGTTATATCCTAAAGAGGAGGTACTGCACACGAACTGTAGGGAAGGAAATCACTGAACAAAAGCATCTTGTGTATTAAGAGTGGGTTTAGTTCTCTTATTTAATGATTCATGCGGTGTGCGGATATAAGGAAAAATGAACTGTTCGTTCATGATAAAATGGAGGCTCAAGCTGAATAATGATGAGTTCAGACAAGTCTTTGTGCATGTGATCTCTTATTTATTCATTATCGTTTTGATAAAGGGCACGGTATTTAAGTGTTGAGATCGTTCAAGTTGTAAATTGCTGGCAGCGAATACCTTGTGCAGAGGCAATCTTATTGTTACTGGACTATTACATGGTTCTTATCATGGAATATTGTTTTCCTCTTTCGTTGCATCTCAATGCATTCTATTTATTTAGAAATGTGCGGCATTTGCGAACGAACTAGTAGACTCGTTTTGTTTATCTTACTGACTGTGCTTTTTCTTTTTCTTTTTCTTTGATGTTCGCAGGGTCAGATGGCAATTTTATTAGGACTTTGTCTGCGGCTTCTTGCAAATAATCGCAATTCCGACAGTGTTCATAGGTGCGTAGTTAGTCATGCTGATTTTTTGACACGGTTCGATAAAATGCGATCTCGGTTGGGAAACTCATTTGAATATGTCTACGTTTGCAGTACTGCAGTTGCAACTGTACGGCAAGCAGTAGCCCTCATATTTGATAGTGCTCTGAAGGGTGAGGGCTTGCCAGTTTTACACTATGGAGGAACTGGTGGTTGGTCATCTACATCCAACTCTCTAGCTGGTGAAGTTAGCCGCAACATAAGTACATCGGGGTAAGTTCTGTTGCGTGCTTCAACTTTGATGAATGTCATTCGGATGCATTTCTTCAATAATCTCTGTAGGAACACAAATGTCTGTAATATCCATGTTTCTTGGTTCTCGTCTGTCTGTCGGTTGAGCATCTATTGTCAGTAGCATTTTTATTGATCTAGGATGGAACTGCTACTTGGTGCAAAGCAGTGTATTCACTGGCTGTGGTCTCATGTATTCTTCACTGTTGCACCGATGAGCGTGTGATGAGTCCATGACATGGCCATTAAGTTGTATCTAAAGGTCGTTATTAAATGGAACCCTCTTTATGCTTTGTTCATATCATTCGAAAGATAATAACTACCTCTTACAAGGTGTACTTGCATTCAGTGGGTTGATTAGTCATGTCAAATGGAGTTTGTTACAATACAACATCCTCGTTTCTAAAGGTTAATTTTTACGAATACACACATTTATATTTCAACTTTTACTTTGTAGGCTTGCTGAGGATGTGTACAATGACATTCAGCCGCCTTTGGCAACAGAAGATAGAACTTTATCTGAAGCAGGAAAACTTGCACTCCACCTTTTCGAGGATCTTACTGCACTTGCAGGGGGTGGATCGGTAAACCTATTTTTCTTGTAATCAAATTGATACTGGAACTTTCAGGTTATGTGCTCGATAGAGTTCAACTGATGACTTGTTTATTTGACGAATTTTGCAGGCAGCGTGGCTTGGAGTTCCTCAACTTCCACGAAGCTTTGCCCTAGATGTGCTCGAGTACGTGACGTGGCGGGTTTTGACAAGCCAAATATGAATTTCTCTATTGTTGCATTATTGAATGATTAGTATTTATCTTTCCTTGTGCAGTGCTCTGGGTGGACATAGGTGTATTAGTGCTCTTGCAGTTCCGTTATGTTGGTTTTATTACCATGTCCAGAGATTTTCTCAATGTTTTAAAAGTTCAACACAGCAGATGGTGAGGTCGTGGGAAATATGTCACAGCTTCATTTGCGTGGAGCTTCTTTGTACTTGTTTATTGCTAACAAACATTCCGTGAATACTTTGTAGGTACGTCTTTTCGCGTTATGCGGTTATTTTCAAGAGACTATCCCCTTTTGCTCAGGTATTGCACTTTAAAAAAAAATTGTTTGGAGGGAAAGGTTTTCTACAACTAGACAAGGCTTATTAGTTGGTATAATCGTAGCAATAGAACGTGTAAAAAAGAGGGTATGTGAAATGATCAAGATCTTCGAAACACTCTGCTTGAATTTGGAGTGGCTTTGCAAACTCATCAGCATAATTCATGGACTGGTTGTTCAATAATTCCTTTTGCGGCATGTTTAAAGGTTTTGAAGCATCAAGTTTGCTCACTGCTCATGACTTCCCTCCGCACATCAAGTGAGGTATAGAACATTGACATTATTCGCATTTTTCTTTTTATTTTTCTGTACTGGCTCTTTCATTATTCATTTGAAGGATTTTGTTTTCTGTTTCACTTTGTCAACTTGAAATGCAAAATGCCACTTACTCACAGGGTTCATGCACATGAGGATGTTGAGTGTGCTGATTGAAGCCATATAGCTCCTAAATCTTGAGCTGAAATTTAAGCAATCTATATTGTGGGTATGGCTTTATGGATTTAAAGATCTAAAAGAAGTTTTCTGTTAACCAAAATATGGCAGGTCCTAATCTTCTTGATAGATGTGGATTGTGGAGTCCATTATTATATGAACAGTTTGCTTGCCTAATTTGAGGCTCTGCTATTATTTTTTAGCAAACAATTTTTATTTTTATTTTTTCGCTTTAATTAATATGCTATGGCTCTTTTATCTTATGTGTAATTTTGTGTCTCAAGATTGATTCAATAGTCGGTGAAGCAGCTTTTCGGCGCCTACTGCTACGGTCTGTAGCTACCATGACCCGATTGTATAACTCTATGCTGCCCACAGAGTGTGAGGTGACCATCTTTCTGGGGCTCTTTCGATTTTATCATAATATTGGTTTTTAAAAGTCGAGTCCGTATGCCCGTGGAATCGCTCTGCAACGTCTACTAATGATGACGTTGTCAAGAATACTCTTGTATCAAACTGTTGGAGAGTTTACTCTTTGTGCAATCATCTTGAATAACTTTTGTAGAACTACTTGGTAACGAGAAGTGAGGCATGCTATTGTTGCCGTTGTTTTTCATTTTTGGCTTTGTTGCTGGTCGAAGTAAATGTTATTGAATTCTTGGATCACATTGCTCTGATCTTTTTGTGCTCGGAATATTGAATAAAAGTGCAACTAGTAGTTCGGACACCGCACATGCTCGTCGGCCCGAACAACTGGCATAGAACATGGCGATATCTCATAGATTTCTGTGAATAACGTATGTTACAAGTTGGATGGCAGGTATTCATGAGCATGCTCATCAAAAGCATAGATTTAGACTTGCCACCTTGGCACCAGAATATGGTGCTTGAGACTTTGCGGGTATGTGTGTGCCTTTCTTCATCTCTAGTTTTGATATAGATAGAAATTCATTCTGCATTTACCTTTCAAGGTGCACACAACACGGTGCTTATATCTGCCAGGGTTCATCTTGCTCGTTGATTAGATGTCATCTTAAATCTTGTGGCTGGAGTGTTTTCAGGGGTTGTGCGTTGAGGCAAGAATGTTGTGCCTTTTATTTAGAACCTTTGACATGTAAGTTCGTCTATGTGAACCCTGCATTAGTGCCACTTCTTTCTTGAGTATTGTTCCCAAATATTTTTATCCGAATACTTTCAATTTTGTTCATGATTGATGTCGCTGTTAGCATAACTTGAGAAATATAAGTAGAAACTGACCTGCATGACCAGGTTTCCTCTGTTGGTCTGCAATTATGGTTGGATGAGTACCAAGTCATAACTTTAGATATTGCAATGGGTTGGTGTTGTTTTTATGGAGATTCCACATTCTAGAGATCACTTTAGCTATATCTTTTTTGATGGTGGACGATATGTCTGGACCAAATATTACTATGTCTTCAGGAAGCACCAAAATACGGATATGGTGTCCAATATAGTTCATACTTTGGCAAGGGTCGTGATAAGGATTGAGGTTGGTGACTACTAATCTCAATTGACTAATTTTCATTAAATTACATGGATGGTTGGGTTGATCCTTGAATTTCATGCATCCTTTCCGAATTTTGTTTAGCAGATGTTGAAATATTCAACATCACAAGATATTTCTATTGCTTTTTTTTTTTCATCCCCAGGTAACCTTTCTTTAGTAGGTGCTTGAAAGGAGTTTGATTTTATCATTCAATTTCAAATTTAGTGTTAAAGATGCAGAATAGAAAAAAGGCGAACTAGTATGCAGAAAGCTATGAGTTGATCTACACGGACGTAGTTCAAATTGTATTGATACAAAATTTAACTTTTGCGATTCAAAAACTGATCTTTGCCGTCCTTTTAGGCTTTTCCTGAAACTTATAGTAATGCCAGGGATCAGGATTCTGATCTCATAATAAGTTTGGTTTTTAAGCGCTTAATTGCAATATCAATGTAATCACTCTCCTGGGCATCGGAAATTCATTGTGGTAAGAATAGCGTCATTCATGTTAGAATCTGCTGATTTACATGAATTTTCAATGTGCTCATGGATTTTTCTTGTGCAGTTGCTTGATGCCAGCGAAGAGACATTGACAGCTGTTGCAGGCATGTTTTATTGTAAGGCAAAAGGTAATTTTTTCACATGTGTGCCATACAGCATGTGTCAATTATCTGTCAGGCATGTGCTTAGATCATCACAGTTTGGTAACATGCCGTTTTACGTAATTTTATCTGGTCATTAATAATATTTCTTATTTAAGAGGACATCGCCAGTCCAATTGCCTTAGATGTGTGAGATGATTTTACTCCTACACCAAAACAAATAGTGCTTGGTAGGCCCTTTGTATGATGCAGTATCATTGTACTTTTCGTTATATACTGCTCATCCCTAGATCTACGTTGTTAGGTATAGAGTGGACACCTGATGCAGATCCAAGCGGCATGGGAGTGTTGATTGCAAGTGAGGCACAGGCCATCACATTAGCAACAGAGGGTCTACTGGGGGTCATTTTTACGATAGCAAGCTTGACTGATGAAGCAGTGGGTTTTTCGGAGGTCAGACGTTACTTTGGTTTCTGTTTTTTATACATTTTTTCGTATGAATTTTATCATTCTAAAATTAAACTAATGTCATAAATCCGTTCTTTTGCTGCATGTTTCTTTTCGCCCTTGCTTGTTTTCAATTGAATATAGCACTCAATGCTGCATATATTGCCTGTTACTTGATGGGTTCTCACTTTTCACGCATGTTCTGTTTGAATGTTCAACTGAATTTTGTCAGTAGTTTGTAATTCCTTACTTTGGAGAATTGTTACTGATTGCAGCTGATAGGTTCTACATCCGATCAGTCGCCCAGCTTGGACTTGACAACGAAAGCCTCATACAGTAAAGCAATGGTCCCAGTTTGTACAGCCCTAGTTAATTCTGTCTGGCGTCCATTACTTGAAGCTCTTACTTTTATTTTGACAAGGTGAATTACCAGCATTTTCCCAAACGTAGATGAACACAGCTGTCAGCAAGTCGTGTTCAGTATGAATGAAGTGATGCTTCACACTTGAAAGTGTTTTATTCAGAGAATCTCGTTTTTTCAACCTGAGACTGCTTGCGCTGCTCTATTTCGATGTTGATACTTGAAGAACTGACATTTTGTTCATTAGGTCGTCTTGGTAGGTATAACAATCATGCTTCTATCGTTAGAAACTTTGCTTCTTGTTTGTATCTTCTAACAATTATCTAATTCTTTTAGGACACAAGGTGAAGCAATTGTATCTGAAATTTTTAAGGGATATCAAGCCTTTACAAAGGTATGTTTGCTTAATTTATCCTTAGCGTATTCATTCCCTTTAATGAATTTTAATATTTGGAACAGCATAAATTTCGTTGAGTTGAAATATTGAATTTTCCGTCCTTCTGTTGACTTTTTTTTTTTTTTTTTAATGTTGTGCATGAGATCCTGTTTGGTACTAGGAATAGCCAGGGCTGTTTTAGGTGCATTATATAACAGTCAATCGTTTTGACAAAGATATTATGCAATTTTAATTTTTAGTAATGTTGGAAATTGGTGTAGGCTTGTGGTGTACTCTATGCTGTTGAGCCTCGGGATTCTTTTCTTGCATCACTCTGCAGATTTACATTCGCATTTCAAAATGATCCAAACAGATCATGGTATACTCATGAAATCTTTATTTTTGATGAACATCTTGTGAAATTGGATAACCGTATTTTCTACTATTTTAGACGTGAGATTTGTGTGAAACAAGCTGTCTGTACAACTTTTCAAGTCCCAAAATGGATTGCATTTAGTCTTTTGAATGGCCAATCTTTCATTCCAGGGGTGGAACAGCATCTTCAGGGGGTAAAAGACCTGATTTCATCGATCAACGAGAACCAGTTGTCCTCAGTTATAAAAATATCCAGGTCTTGACTCTATTCTGATGGAAAATGTGTTCGCTCTTTTGATTTGGAACGTTGAGGGAGAGGTTTGGTTCAGATTCGGCTACACCTATGCTACTTAAGTCTAGATTATGTTCATATGCCACTCAATAGCAGTTTTAATTTACAGTGAAATTTTCCTTGAGAAAGATTGCACTGCAGTTGCTTTCTCGATTGTGCTTCTTGATTATGTGTACAAATGAGCTTCCCATCTCTGTTTTTAGACCGACATACTATCTCAAGAGTGGAAGGATATATAGTTTTCAGACCATGATAATTCATTTTTTTGATGTTCTAGATCATATGTTTCTTCAGTTTCTCTTCATAAATTATATTTAGATTAAGAATATTTTTGCAAACCGCTATTAGAGAGTATGCTTTTGAAATTGAATTTTGTGCAGCTTGTGAAAAAGTGCTTAAGGCGTGAGGGATTAAGAGCATTGCATTTACATGGTTGGAGTTTTCCAGGCAGTGAGGACTCTTTTCAACATTTCACATCAGTTAAACTCGGTGTTGGGTCCTACGTCTTGGATACTGGTTGGCTCCCTTGGATCCGCACTTTAATATTTGTCGTTTCAGTTTCGTTTTGGAAAATCAACCTTTCGATTTGGTTTTGAGAACTGCGAACGGTTTTCAGTTATATGGTTACCTCACACGATTGATTGGGCAGAACAATGAGCTCTATGGAACTTAAACATATGTGAGGTCTTATTCAGACAATTTATTGGTTGGACTATGCAAACGTCGAACTCTTTTAATTTGAGCATATTTTCATGTTGAAGCTGCTTTTTATGAAAGAATGAGAATCTACCACCAAATTTGCAGGCGTCGTTTATGATTGGACTGGAACTGCGTGCTCATATGTTTAGGTATTGGAGACGCTGGAAGTGCTGAATATGGTGATGTATTCTGCTCATTCTCTTGCTCAGGTAGGTATTCAGTTGTAATATTCTTGTAATCCACATCAAGTTTTTTTATCTGTTATCAGATTAGGATTAGACCTGTTAATCAACTATATTCAGAACAAATGCTGTCTTACGATTTATTTCGACTTCGCCTTGTCTTTTGTGCATTTGCATTTTCGAGTTGTAATTGATCAATTTGAACAACAGCAAACGCAGGTCAAAGGTTAGGATGTTTACTGCGTCCTTTCGGCATGGGTTTTGTTTGCAAAAGTGGCTAGGAATGGTTTTTTGTGTAAACATGAAGAATGTATTCACATGTTTTCAGAGTCCGTTAAAATAGTCAAAATTGAAAGTTTTTGTCAACTCTTCTTGGCTCTGTTTGCAGGATGGTGTGGGCAATGCTGCTCGTGTAATGGAACCAAGCAATGAGCTTAGTATCTTAACCGTGTATGATGCTCAGGTAGGTCAGCTAGCCGTGAATAATAATGGGTTACGTGTTGGTATGCACTCTAATTTGGTGATTTGATCTTATGTTTGATGATATTTCGCAGCCAAGTTTTCAAGTCTGGTGTAATGTAAAGTATGTGTAGGTGCTGTGCTATATTAAATCTTTGCGATTCTACGATTCTTGCATGAATTCCTGATGTCCCTCAAAACGCCATTTGAGATAGTTCTAGATTAAATGGCCCCCAGCGATTGCGCAATGAGTATAATTTTGGCCTTCGATGGGTATCCGTGACCTTTTGAGCAGCAGTATTATCTAGGGGTTACACTCTAATATCTGTGACTGGCGTGCAATCAACGTGTTTCCTTGATGGGAATATTTGACAATTAATGCAACATAAAACTGATGACTTACTTTTTAGCCAATGCAGATTATTTTGAACTGCATTCTTTCGAATCCAATGTGGCTTGGAAGAGTTTGGAATTCAATCTATTCGTCGGATGTCTCTCAAATTTGTTTCTGGTTCTGAATTTGATGTTTTCTATATGTGCAGATGTTTGAAAGTACTGGAAAGATGAGTATTCCTGCGCTTTCTTTTTTTCTTACTGCTCTGCGCCAAGTATCCAACACGTTTGTTAGTGGACTAAGTAGTACGTCGAACTCTACTTTGCCCACTGTTAGTGGCAGTACAGCAAGCAACGTGTCTGGCCATGCTGCAGTTAAACTATGGGCTGTGGAGCGCATGTTGAGCACTCTAATGTTTAATGTGCATCGTAAGTTGCCTCTAGAGCTCTTCAAAAAGTGACGTGGGTCTTCTTTAACTAATGACGTTGTCTTCCTTTAGTTTTCTCCTCATCATATACCCGTTTATGTTGTGAACAAATGTGATGCTCTTGCTACCTCTGCTTTAAATTTCTTCTTACTGCCTATTTAACAGGTTGGGAACTTGTATGGGATCAGTTAACAGATCACCTTTTAGAGGTATGTAGAGGCCTTATTATCCGTTATATGCATGAAATTTTGTCCTATTCTTTGAATTGTTGGTAATCTATTCATCTTGAAGCAATCTTCCTGGATTTTAATGCGGGCACCATTTCTTAGGCAAACTCCTTTTCTTGCGTTATTCTACAAATATTAGGATTTTAGTTTATGGAAATTATTGAACGAGGTGGTTTTTATCAGCTGGCAGAGCACGAGAGTCAGCAGGTGCGTACTGTTGCACTTGATGCCTTGGATCGAGCAATTTGTGGAGTTTTGGCAAGCCAACAATTCCAAGAGCATGCACCTGGAGTTGAATCGGCCAAAGATTTTAACCACGAAGTCAATGAAGGTGCACAAGATGTAGAAAGCTCCGTCATGAAGGCCGACAATGGTGATTCAAGCGCTTCAACATGCGTGCAGCAGAGCATTGATAAGATCTCACTTGAATGTACATTGTTGCAGCCACTCAGCACATTGTACAATTATGAGCGCATCACGGATATTCGTGCTGGAGCTCTCAAGACTTTATTACATATCCTCGAGGTGAGTCTCATTGACAGGTTTCCAGTCAGCGCGAGTTGTGCTTACACACTTGGCTACGCGTCTTTCTCGATATACTCTTTGCTTTTATTGTTTGTCTTAACTGCGTCATATTATGATTACATTCATATTACAAATTTTTTAGTGAACATTCTAGTACACATGAGATAGCAACTATGCTCTACAGCACATGTGCATGGTATTTTCGATTGTCTTGTGTATAGTTGGCTTGAAGAGGTGTTAGAAGCTTCAGATGGGTGTTATTGATGAGTTGATATTTTTTGGGTTTAGAGACATGCAGAAAAGCTAAATCAGAGTTGGCCGAGCGTCTTAGACCTACTTAGGTAAGGCGACAAATTGATTTTTCCAAGTAAATTTCTTCAATTGCATAAGAAAAAGTAAACCGAAAGTTGATTCACTTTGCTGGGATTGTGTTGCGAATTCCTGTGCTTCCCCGCTCAACTTTCGTGAATTCATACCTTTGCAGAGGAATAGCTCCAAATATTATGCATAGTTTGTTAAAATGTGCGCATAGCTCTAACTGTCTCTTATTCTTGCAGACAAGTTGCAAGTGCCTCAGAGAAGGATCTTGTTCCCTTGGGATTTCAGGTAAGATTACAGGTCACATTTAAAACCAAATGAGAGGTATGAACATCCATTCTGTGTTCAACAAGAGAAAAAGCTCATGTATCGTGTGTATCACTCATTCTGTAATGCAGAGCCTTCGTGTTATCTTGAATGAAGGGCTCCTCTCAATACCGGCATATGCTTTAGAGCAGTAAGCTTTCATTTCTAGCCTCAACTTTTGGTGGGATCCAGTCAGAACTTCTTTTATCTCATCTTCAATCTATTCTCTGATTCATTTCGTGTTTCAGTCGCCAAGACTATGTGCTGCTGTTTAGTGTTGAGCTTCGCACTTGTGTCATCACAACCTGCAAGTACTCACCATGATTGTAGATTCTCAGAATAGTAAGTTCTAGGTGTCTAGAGAGGAGTAACTATTGTGCTGGTTGCAGGTGTATTGAGGTTGCTGGAGCGTATGTAGTGCAACAAAAAGATGTGAACATAAGCCTAACAGCAATAGGAGCATTGTGGACAACTGCCGACTTCTTCGCTAGAGGGGTTAATCATGAATTTTGCAAAGCACAAGGATTCCGTATGTTCGTCATATCTTTCTGAAATTGTCTATTCCTCAAGGCGTGTGTATTTATTTGCAGAATAGTATTACTGAAAAACAACTTCTTCAAGACTTGTGCGTTGTATGGCACTGTATGAAGAACCGTGAATTGGTCGTCTAATTGCTCTGATATGCTGCTTGTACTTGATCAACACCATACAGGACGATTGAGTGGCCATTTCTCAGCAATGAATGTTTCGGGATCTCCGGATACTGGGAGGCCTGAGAAGGAGGGCGAGAGTGATGTTGAATCACATTTCTTAACACCTGACAAAAGGCTAGACGTGGATAATGATTCACTTTTACTGGCTGTTTATGGCGTCATTCAAGGATTCGTCACCGATGAAAGACCGGAGGTACTTGTTTGGACTCAGAGTGGGTCAAGGAGCTGAAAGCTTCATGTACTAGGACTATGCTATTTGCATCATAGTTGATGGCATGTGATGACACGTACAAACTCTTGGGTTCTTAGTTTTCGGTGCATACCTTTTCATTCTTGTTTCTTTTATTTCAATGTTATATCGTTCTGTGAATTTCAACGAATTACATAAATTTTGCTGTTTACAGTGTTGTACAACAATATCTGGCTTGTGGTCAACGATATTAAAGTACACTTCTTTCAGGAGTAATTTCGTAAAGTATCTCACTGACTACTGGCAGAGGTCTCTATTCATTGTACTGCTTCTGTAGTATCTCCAAGCGAGGTGGATTTGCCTGATAGGTCAAAAGCAATGTCCTAAATATCATACTTATGGATAATCCAGTTCATGTGCTGATATGTATACATGTTAAAATCCAGATTCGTCATTCCGCAATTCGCACTCTCTTCCAGTCGATTATCAGTCATGGGCAACAACTCTCAACAGCCATGTGGGAACACTGCATAGGTGCTGTAGTGTTTCCAATGGTTGATACTGTGCGAACTCTGGTCAGTGTTCTTCCCCACCTACTTTAATTGGAGCTTGATCGTCTTTCAGGCTTGTTACATGCATTTATGCAAGGTCATGTCATCATTAAGTCTCGTATACCCCAGGAAGACCTCATCTTTATGTGCTTTTGAAATAACCTGACCATTGATCTCATCAGATATCCTTAACACAAATTTTTTAGTCCTAATTGCACTAGCGGTTGTTATTAAATTCCAGTTTATCGTATCTTACTGTTCAGTGTTCGTCACAGGCATCTACTTCATCCCAAGATGAGTGGCATGGGAAGGAGCTTGGTGTAGAGGGTGGCAAGCCTGTCCACATGCTCGTTCATCACAGGTTTTTGCCTCCCGCCCTTCGTATTCAATTTGGTGAAAATGTTTTTTGCCAGGTTCATGCTTTTGCTTTCGTCTGGACTATTTTCAGGTGTACTGAAACGTCCGTAGCAATCTGGTTGTGGAAATTTTGATTGTAGAACCAATAAAATGTTTCGAAGAGGTCCTTAGGTGATTAAGGGTATGAAACTTTTGTACTAGATATGCCTCGAACTTACTCAATCCCATGTCAAACTTATGACCTCTTGTTTGATAGCCGCAATACCGCTCAGAAGCAGTGGGACGAAACCCTAGTCTTGGTGCTTGGCGGTACGAGCCGTCTTTTTAAATCTTACATGAAAAATTTTCAAAGTCTAAACGATTTCAAGAATCGTAAGTGTCTCTTTCGAAGATGCTTAACTGCGTAATTTCCTTTCACCATTTAGAATTCTTGTTCCAGTCGATATCGAGATCTGGTGTTGATCGTTAGATTTGCGTTACTTGATTATCCCTCCTTAATTACTATTTTTGAGGTTTCATTTCGAGTGAGTGCAAGTTTGATATGCTTTCACATGAGTTCCATTTGATTTCACCACACTTTGTGTGTACTGAAACTCAGTTTGAGTGATTGCTAAGTGTGATGCTTGGGAGCATGCAGAATGGACGACTCTTCTTGCTTTTATAGGAGAGAGCATTGTGAATGGCAGCAAGGAGGTTTCTTTAGCAGCTATTGCATCTCTTAATTCTCTTCTTGTTCATCATGCTGCTAAGGTAATATAATATTCACAGGCTCAATATTTCATTCTATATACTGCATTCGCTTGTAATGCTATTATCGCCTGCATGGAGCACAGCTTTATATTGGGAAGACTTAGTGGCAAATAAATGTTCAGAAAATCGTAGTTGATGACTCAGTTTCATACATTACGTAGAATAACGCTCTTAATAATGGATGCATTCTCTACAAATTAATTTGATGAAGTTGGGAGGATGCTCACTCATCCAGGCCCACCAGTGATCATTTTGCAGCTGCTACTGCAGTCTGCATTCGAGCCATGTTCAGTGATCTTTTGGCTACATCTTTTCATAATTTCTTGTGTTCAATGATTTGCAGGATAATCTACCGCCTTATTATTTTGAAACTGCATTTTCCCTGTATGAATCAATAGTCCCAACTGTTGTGAAACCTGATAGCCGAGTTATTCCAAAGGCTCAAAAAGAACTGCTGCAAAGCTTGGGTATGTACTTTCACATGAGTATGTTTTCTTCCTTTACTAGAGCAGCCTACTAGATGTCTAAACATGGATACCAGCTTGGTTTTCTATTAAGTGAAGTGTCTTATTGACTGCAGGTGATCTTTATTTTAACGGGCATTTATTATTTTCAACAAGTTGCTATTTGCGGTTGCTGGTTTTGGTGGATCTTTTCGTTTGGATCCCAGCTCCTCCAGGCGATCTGGCACCAATTAGTCAAGTAGGGCGTTGAATCTGTCTCTGTGAATGTTGTTTGCTATCCACGTTCTTGCCCTCTCAAATGTTTGTTCTGTGAAGTGCTCACTGTTGTTCACGATGGTTTGCGATGAAATCTGAGATTATTGTTATCTTTGCAGGTTCAGCAGACGGTTCTTGCCGTTCTGCCTCTAATAATGCCACTAAATGATTATCTTTCTCCATTGTGGCTTACTTTTATTTATCAAGTTTTGTCTTACTTACCAGAAGAAAACCATTCGAAACCTGTGTCAGCTCAAGTTGAAAACTTGAAATTAGAGGATTCCAATAGGATTTCTTCTAAATTTCTTACCTCAAAAGCAAATGGACGTCCCAGTATGGTATTAAGTACAAACGATTTGACTAACGACAGGGAAGAACATGGAAATGGGTCTTTCACACAAGGACTCGATGTTGGGACATTTAATGCTAAGACGGTTGATAGTCCGGAAAATTCATTTCAAACTCTATCCACGGCTTTCTTGGAGAAGTTGATCAAGGTTGTGCTCGAGTTGCATCAAGCTTGTCCGCCAACTGCTGCTGCAACTGGTATACCTGACATTGTTGCTGCATTTGGACGGTATGTGAGGACATTGGCACCTTGCGCTCTTGAAAATGTTGCACATGTGAGTGTGGAGGTTGTAATTTAAACTTAAAATCTTTTTTAATTTTGAATGCAAGCTGTGACTAAAAGTTATTATTGCATGTAATTATTATCAATAACAAATCTTTAATATAATCATGATGATGTTTACGTAAATATTTCATTAAAGTTACAATGAACTACATCTGCTTGGATTTCTTGAGGTAATGTATTTCATGTTATCATTCGCTTGATCGTATGGCTTCTGTTGAATTTCATGTTATCATTCGCAAGGTTTATCTTATTAACATATTTCGTACACCACACCTTTCATTCTGGCAGATATAATCTGCGTGATTTTACCAGTTTCTATTCTTGATAGAGCTTGTTGCAGAGGTCGATTGTGCTGGTTTGTTGCTTCATAGGCTCTAATCATGTCGGTTCTTACCAGGTGTATGGCTACGCGTCGAGATAGTCCCAAGGAAAAGTTATGGAAAACAGCTGTGAATTCCTTTATTTCTGTGCTTCGAGGAGCTTTGATCAATGACATTGTGGATAGCAAGCATGATATCGCTCAGGAAAATCCTGTTGCTAGCGGGACTATTAGGTCAAGGTTTTGGAAGGAAGTTGCAGATGTGTATGATAAATTTATGGTTGGAGCCTGTGGACGAGCTATTTCACTTCCAGCTGGTGTAACTATAGAACCAGAAGTACTGGATGCTGATGAACAAGCGGAGAACATGGTGCTATCTTTTCTCGCTGATGAACTCCTGACCTGCTGCCAAGATGCACCTCGTGAGGTATGAGTGCGGTTGATTCATTTGTGCATGCCTGTAGTATTTTTTGATCAAGCGTAATCCTACATAAGTGTACACTAAGGTCTTACAGCAAGTGGACTGTGCAGTCATCGAGATGCCAATCAGCGTACTTACAATGCTAATTGTTAGATGAACAGGTGCTGCAGCATTTAGTGGGAGTCATTGATCAGTGTGCTGCGAGGACCTCCGCTTTACCAATTTCATATATTGTTTTTCTACCTGCTCACTGCCGGAGATTCTCTTTATCTTGTCTGGACAAGCTCTTTGTACTCTGCAGGTCAATTTATCCCTCGCACTTCTTACCATTTTAGTCTTGTGTGAACAATATTGTCTTATTTGAAATGGCTTTCATAGACACGAACAATCAGTACTGCAGATAATTTTTAAATTTTTCTCCTTTCTCTTTTGCACTTTTTGTCGCCGTTCATTCTCCTTGACGGTTCAGGAAAGTTTGATCAAGAAATATGTTACGTTCTCTTCTTCTCTTAATAATCAATTGAGGGCTAGTATTTTCATCTTGAGAGCTCCTTCTGTCGACATTTACAAATTCTTATAATGACCTTAACACTTCCTTTGCGTGACTATCGAATGGAAGGAAGTTATCTAAATTCGTACTTGTGACAATTGCAGTTGTGAGCCTCACATGACAGGTGAATCTTCGAAGGTTATTGTCAGTCAGATTGCGTTACCTGTTTTGCTAGCACGGTGCAGAGCTATTCTACACCATTTTGCAGAAGCTGAGAAGGAAGTTGGTATGTTTACCACGTTATGTTGAGAAGGATTTGTCATGAATTTGCTGCCTTCCCAGTTAGCTAGGCATTGTTGTTATGAGTGTACATTCCACACAGCATGACTGGTTTGTAATGTGCTATTTCAAAAATATGGTGATTTGCTCGAAGTCATTCTTGAGCCATGATGTGGCCCTCATTCAGGTTGATAAATAAATTATTCTCGGCTGTTAAGCCACGTGAATTTTTTACTTATGTAAATCTTAGGCGTAATTATACTAAATGTGGTAGAGGCATGAAGGCAAGCAAAGGTAAAAGCTTGGGGCTTACGGCATCTTCACGCCATGTACATGAGAGGAGAGTGAGAACCAAGAGGATGCATCCAAGATGGACTTTGTAGATGGGTGATTCTATTACCAGTCTCACTGCAATATCTGGTGCTCGTGTTGATATCATTTTCGTCGTTGTTTGTTCCAGGAGATGCAGTGCTTCCACAAATCATCATGGAAGAAACTTCTTTGCTTCTTGTGAGGCTTGCAAAGCTTGTTTTACATCCTCTAACTGCAACGCGGATGAATCTTCCAGTCTCCGCTAGGGAAGTTGGAGCTGAAAAGAACGAGTGTGAACAAGAATTGAGGACGAGTTCTTCAAGTATCTACCGTCTAAGTTCTGAACGAGCTCACTTATTTCTGCTGTACAAAAACTTCTGTGAACTGTTGACTTCAAGGTACGGTTGTCCCTCTTCCCTTCTTAATTGTTTTACTTATCCAAAAACCGAACGACTTATTCAATTCTTAGAAAAGTTTATAATATAATCAAGGCTTGGTTTAGGAATAGGAGAAGTAAATTACTATCACTTTCCAGTACTGAAGGTACAGATTCTGACTGCGGATGTTTTAATTTGTCGTCATGAATTTGGTTTCAATACATGATTCGTTATCTGAATGGCAGAGTTTTGGAAGTAAGGGAGCTTCTTCAAGCATTGCTCTTGCTTGTTGGCACAGAGCTAGGTTTGTAGCTGGTGTTTATAGCTTTCAGAGGTGACATTGACATAATTATTGCACCTTTCTATCCACATGGTGCGGCAATAATGTAGATTATTCAATCTTGCTAGACTCCTGTGTTAATGATAAGATTCACAGCGCAGTATATGCTCTGAATGAAATGACCATCAATTTTCAAAAAAAATGTTTTAGATTTACAATTCTTTGTTGCGTTTTGGAAATAGTATGTCGGAGCATGAAGCATAAAATTATGGTCATTGTATACAAGGGTTAACTCCATCTGAATGTGGCAGTGTGGTTGACAGGCCATGGATGTTTTTAAGTGTAAGTATATTCATAACGATCATTTGAAATCCATTGTAGGATTGGAGAAATTAAGATGGAAAAGCAAGTATGTAACTAGCTAATGAGTTGACAATGGACTTTCAACTGTACATGCACACAATTCTAAGCATTTTAACAAACGTGAGGGATCTGAAAATTCATTTGGAATGATTATTTTCTAAATGTATTTAAATAATTGAGATAATTTGATTTGAGTATTTCAAATCAAATTATCTTATGAAGAGCTTTCATAGCATCTCATTTGAGAAATGTTAGTTGTTTAATTTTAATTCTTTAACAAACAGTTGATTATACGAGCTAGGACTACATTATCAAGAATATTTGTTGGGGGTATGAAAGCAACTGAATCTAAGTTAATAATCTCGAATATTATTGCTGCAATTCAGCTTCGAAGGAAATTTATCCTTGTATTATTAAAAACTTTTCAAAAAAGATTGGACTGAAGTTTCATAAAAGATCTTTAATATTGGTTGTGTGCAATGTAATGATTATCATTTTAACAATTAACATCATGGTGCAACATCAGCTATTATTTTAAATACAGAAGGTTTATAATTTTAAGTAGTATGTATTAAGTGTTTGATAAAAGACATCTATTAAATTTTTCTTTTCAGAAAAAATTTCAAAATCAGGTAGTGGCATCAAATATTATATATATATATATATATATATATATATATACATACATACATACATACATATATATAATTTTAAAGTAGAAGTTTTAGAAGAATTATATAAATGTGAGTTTTTTTTTTTGGAGAATTTAATGTGGTGCAAAGTAAATTAGGTACAACTTCCTATGTCTGATCATGATATATATATACTTATAGAGAAAAAAAATATATGTTATTATTAAACAAATACAAAGTAAGACTATTAAAAACTCATTTATCTCTTTATATGTATGCATGTAAGAATATATATATATATATATATATAGGAAAATGTTAATCAATCCCACCATCATAACGAGTAGTGGATTCCCATCTCTTATCTTGATCCCCTCCAAATGGCAAACTGTGTGTAAGATTCTTTTGAGGCTCTTACTTATCCATACATCATATGTATCATATTTGATGAAAATATACACTCGATATAAAGACAAATATGTGGAGAGAAGTCATGAATGTTAGGTTGGATGCATGGCTTTCCATGCCAGTTTGTAGTTTTGAAGGAAGGCATGGAATAAGGGCACCTATGCATTTTATGAGTTTGTTATCAAGAGTTTGTAATTCCAACAATCTTGAGTAAAAAACATGAGCATGAACCTAAAGAAGCATGTGATTCTTGTATCATCTTAGAGGCCTTTGCAACTATACATATCTTGTTGAACATGAGTTTGCCAAGCATCACATTGATTATTACAAAATGATACATGCAACATATCTTGACGACAATGGATTGAATATAGGTTGGAAGCACCACCTGTGTGCAAATCGAGTTCAATCTCATTAGAAAGGCAACAAGACTAAGAGGGGTGTCAAGGACATGAATCTTGAGGAAAGAAAATCCTTACTATATTCATGTATCACTGAAAGGAACTAAAAAGTCACTCAAAGATAATGTAATATTGAATTAGAATGGCTATTGATAAAAACAAGAAGATTAGAAAGTCTTGGAACAAGACTAAAGATTATAAAGGCATTGACAAGAATTAAGAAGGCTTCACTCTTGCCTCCATACATACTCTAAACAAGGAGCTATGTGGCAATGTCCTATAGGACCTCCAAAACATGTTGACTTTGCTAGCCACATGTCTTAATTTGTAATGCAAGTTATCTATGTATGTGCCACATAGTTAGCTTGTTCCACAAGTTATTAACATGTGGCTAATTTGTTGGCCAAGTTTCTAACCTATAAACACATCTAAATTGTGTCTATGAAGCTTCTAAGAAGCTTTTCTAGAAGACTTTATGAAATTAATCTATATTTACTTACTTCTACTTAATCATGTAAGTAATTATTGGGATAAATATAAATGTTTGTAATATTATCCCCTCTTCTAGGAATGAGTTCCATGAAGAGCACTTATCACCTTTCATGGATCTTTACAAATCTTTATCTTGATTTTGATGGATGTTGTTGATGAAAGGCCTCAACCTTCTTTGTTGCATTTGCAAGATTCTTTGTTGGCTCCCATGTGCATTCACTAATATCATATCCATGTTAATGAATAAGATATTTTGACTTATTTTGGTGTCGCCTTGAATCTAATACTTCTTCCACCTTGAACTCTTGATTATTATCCACTTCTATAAGAGGAGGTGGCATTTGTCTTCTTCCAAAGATATTCACTGTCTTATATGGCTAAAGAAGGGACACATTGTCATATTACATGGCGTTTGGCTTAAGAATGCATCGCGCACCTAGTTGTGGAGGATAATTGCAACAACAAGTTCTAACAACTCTAATAGATTCTTAAACAAATTACAATTAAAGATTAATAAATATGATCAAACATCGATCAAATTCAATCAAAATTTCAAAAGAATTATGTAAGAAATACAAAGTATTCTTAGAGATCTTTTAAAGAATCATAAAGAAATAACATAGAAATTCAAAAATATACTAAAATAAAAACCTTGATTAATTCCTAGTCAAAACCTAATCAAATTCTAGTCAAACCTTAGTCAAATTCTAACCAAATCCTAAATAAATCCTAGTCAAATCCTAATAAATCCTAACCAAATCCTAAATAAATCCTAACCAAATCCTAAACAAATCCTAAACAAATCCTAAAAAAATCTTGACCAAATCATAAACAAATCCTAATCAAATCCTAAATAAATCTTAACCAAATCCTAAACAAATTTTGATCAAATCCTAAATAAATCCTAATCAAATCCTAATCAAATCTTAAATAAACTCTAACCAAATCCTAATCAAACTCTAACCAAACCTTAACCAAATCCTAAAAAAAGCCTAAATAAACTTTAACCAAATCTTAATCCATCCCTAAATATATCCTAACCAAACCTTAAATAATTCCAAGTAATTCCTATAGCAGATTTAAACTTCAATAACTAATGAATGAACCATTGATTTTAACTCAAAATTTGTACAACTCTTAACAATTAAGTTGAAAATAAGCACAAATATTTTGAAGAAGATCGAACTCAAAAAAAAAATCAACCCTAATATTTGCTCAGATATTGGCCAACCTCCTTCTCAAATTTGAATGTTGAATTTCTAGTGTCAATATCTCCTTATTAAACCATTCAATTGATCTCAAATTTTTTATATATATAGGAAAATAAGTCTACTACCTATACACATAATTCTCACTCTAATTCAATTGAGAGATTGAAAGAAATTGTAGAAATCTTCACTTAACCTAAAACTCTACTTTTTGAGACTTTGATCCTTTTAAACCTCAATAATCCTTGATCCAATCCTTCGATCCAATTCAAACTTACAATATATATTGAACACATATAAATCCAAAAACTTTCAAAATCTCACCTATGGTTCTACTTCGAAACTTATGAAATTCTTCAAAAAGTATCTCCTCTTTTATTTCACAAATCTAGAGTCACCTTAAACAAAACTTGATCTTGCAGAGCTCTTACAAAGTCAATACAAATCCAAATCACTCAAAATTAATGTTCATTCAAACCTTATTAAGTCTCTTTTCTAACCTTTCTCTCTGATCTACCAAAGAATTTCAAAATAATTGTTGAGGCTTGGTTTTGTGCCTTGGGATCTGAAATCGACCTTGATTCAAAACTGGCCCTCTCTAGGTATCAATATCTACTTTTTCTAGGTAATTTTTACTAGAATTTACTCTTAACTTCTTTCTAAAGATGTTTGTATTATTTATTTTTCTAATCTACTTTTTTTTGCCTTATTTATGGTCGTACAAAGTAAGAAGAAGTCACTTTTCTAAAAAGACAAATATTACTAGTAAAAGTTTTATTACCTTCCTATCTTTTATCCATATTTTTTTACTCTATCTTTTAACTTGGCTCTTCTATAATAAGTTCTATATTATAATCTTTCACCATATAGTCGTGTTTCAATATAACAACATGAAATATAGGATGGATCTTCATAGACTCTAGTAGATGTAATCAATAAGCAACAAGATTGATTTGTTCACAAATAGGAAAAGGTCTCACCCTACAATAATCCAACTTATCACAAACACAAGTAGTGTTGATATTACAATGAAGTAACCATACCTTCTAACCTACATTGAATTGTGGCTGTTCTTTGCGATAGGCATCCGTGTTGGTTTTTTGTCATTCTTCAGCTTTCTTTAATTGTATCTTCATTGTTGTATGTAATTGTGACAAATGATTTGCAATATCTTTTGCCATAAGATTATCAATTTTTGAAAAGTCAAAAGTATCAAGTTGTAGATGATAACCATAATTTACAAAAAAAAGTGTTTGTTGAGTAGAAGAATGTACCAAATCATTGTATGCAAATTTTACTAATAGCAAAAGAGATATCTAATCATCTTGATGATAGTTGATGGTATACCTCAAATACTGCTCTAGAACTAGATTCACTCATTTTGTTTGTCCATCAATTTCAAGATGAAAGGTTGAAGAGAGTCTTATATTGACTTTTAGAATCTTAAATAGGGTTCTCTAGAAACTTGATACAAATTGAATCTTCCTCTCTGATATAATATCCTTTGGTAATCTATGATATGAATAGATATTATCAATAATAAGCTTAGCTATTTCTTCACCTAAAATAGATTTTGTACATGGTACAATATGTACCATTTTGATGAAGCGATCTACAATTATGAATATAAAGTCATATGAACGTGAGATTAAAAGATCCTTGATAAAATCCATAGAAAGAGAAGACCATGGTTGTTCTAGAATTGGTAACGGTTGAA